ATATAATACAGATCTTTAATAGCATTCATTTATTACAAATACGTGCGACTTAACGATGCAAGATAATTGAATAATCAGTTATATAAAAAAAGGCGCCGAGATATCGTTGACAATCCATTTACCAGACAATCGCGGTCGATTAGATTGGATGTTTGCGCGAGCGTTCTTTCTCAGGTGTATCTCCTGGCAAAACGAAACGTTACGCAACCCGCGCTCCGATTTCTAGCACAATTAACCCTTCGAGCCAATTAAAGCCCGACGCTAAAGGAAATACATAATTGCCCCGAATTCTACTGCATGTTTTCACGCTAATTCTATCGTAACGCGTTTCGTTCCATCTATATTTTAAAGACAATAATTTCGCCAAGGTCGTAGCAAAGATATCAACCAGACAGCAATACTAAATAATCTGAAGGATTGACGTAGCAGGTGAGACGATAAGAAGTATCATATATAATAATATCTTAAATATTAGTAGAGTAAAATTTTTAAGATGTGCAATCTGTGAACTATTATTCTATTAAGTAAATGCATCGTTGATAAACTCAAATGTATGTGAATTATTATAAGTACTGGTATAGACTCACATCGAGTGTGAATCGAAACATTTGTTTTAACGTGTATATAATAATTGGAGGAGTTGATAGATTCGAAAGAAGCTCCAAGGCCGAATGTACGTGACCCGCTCGAAAACTGCATTGATTAATCAGCGGACTCGTTGCCATTCCATAAACGTAAACCGCAAATCGCGGTCATTGCCATTCTAGTCGCTCCTCGGATTCTTTCTTCAAACTATCTGACGAATAGATATTAAAAAACCAATGATACAATACAAGTACGTGTGTAATTATTGAAAAGGTAAAAATTGTTTTATACGACATTATAGTCTTCACTATCAAAGCGTTATATTGCCTTATCAATGTAAGATCAGTCGTTATCTAAATATTACAATGCTAGATTAAAAGTAAAAGATAGGTGCGATTCTATTTTCAATTATTCGACTAATTTTTGTCTTGAGAATTCACTTTTTTAAAAACGTTCACGGCCTCGATTTTCCAAACGCGTTTCTACTTCTCGTTTCTTATCAAGCTTGGAATTGTTAATTAGACATTAATGGATTATCGGTTTTAGTCTTGCCTGTAGAAAAACGTATTTTCAAACTTATTTAAACAATCATCGATTTAGTACTAATATTGATGCGGTAATATTATAATTTACGAATGAATTTTGTTCATCATAATTGTTCATCTTTTCGAGAAATGATCGAGGTTGTTTAGTTCAATTGATAACGAACGTCACTGGCGATCACCGAAGATCAACGAGAGCCACCAGATGCCAGAGCAAATTATATCCTCTTCGTCGGTTACTTATTTTTTTTTTAGTCCGTACTATTTGTACACCGATTTCACCACACGTCGTTCACCGGGAAGATCTAGACGCGCCGGAGATTCACTACGTCCGCTTCTAAGGAACGACTTCAAACACTGTGTCCACCTTCGCTACGGTTTATCACCGACCATACGCAACTTCTCCTACTACCGCTCCTCCATCGCTGATACATGAATGGATCCAGGCGAAGTCCAATGAGAAATAAATCGTCCAAATCCACTTCGATCCTGTTATTTATGTCTTACTTACAAATTAATTAAAATAACTTTGTATTCAATAAATGCTTCAACATTTCTTTTATACCATTCATTGGTTCCACTTCCAAATGCTTTCACGTTTAGTTGCTTCGTGAAATTAAAAGAAATAACATGAGTATAAATTTATTAAATATAAAGAAGAATCGAATTGAAATTGGAATTTCATCAAAAAATTTGTACGAGTCTAATCTAATCTAATCTGTACGGATTTTTCACTCGAGTACAATTGCAAAATGTAACGTGCTGACTGTGGAACGTGTATTTTATCTTCGAGCTTGTTATCATTATATTACATGTATTTATCCTTTTGTTATTTCTGCCAGCGTGGCGGTTTTGAACGAATTTAATTTAGCGATAAAAACTCTTTTTTCAAAGTAATCAGTAACAATAATTAATATCTGACGTAAATGCTATTAAGTATTAAGTCTGTAGATGATATCATAATACTATAAAAGGGATCATAAGTACTATTTCTTTAAATGGATAAGTGAAAGTGGCAAATGGAGAAACGTTTATACAATAAATGTCAAAAAGAAACGCAATCTTACGTATTTATTAGAATTCGATTATGAAAATGCACAAACTAATAATTGTTTGTACATAGAATTTACCTTGACTTCATAGTCTTCATTGACTGTGGATAAGTTCGAAAGAATTGATCCTGATGAGAAATAATTGATGTTCGAATGCAATCGCGACGAATATCCCAAAGATACTGATTGTGAGACAATCTCAACGAGAAAATACAAATGCGAGAAGCTTCGGGTAAACGCGTTCCGTGACCTCGTTCCTATCGATACGGGGAGTCAATCGATGACCGCTCGTTCCGGCGGTAACATGCAAATTACGACTCTTTCCTCCGCGTAAACAAACTGCCGTTCCAATTGAAAATCAGTTCTCGGTACGATCAGCCGTCAACGAAAACATTCAGCTTTTTAACGTTCGAAGAAGCGATTAAACATAGATCATCTATTAGCAGATTATGCGAATTAGGATTTGCGATTTCAATTACAATTATCAAATCCGTTCTGATGTCAATTTCAAAAATGAAATCTAAATTGGTATTTTCTTCACTCTCCAGACATAGTGATGTGTACAATGCATATTTTTGTGTATTACAGACGCTTGTTATATGTTTTGCATACTAAAGGTACTACAAAATTCATCAAATTCGTAATATATTATGTTATTATTCGTATATAATAGCATAATCAACACTTATGCATTCTATCATTATCTTTTATCAGTGAAGTGACAATTGTATGTACAATATGTAATTAAGTTATTATTACATCACAATCGTTCCATGTAATTGATCTCTTTTGCTGGGTCAACGGACTCTTTCACAATAACTCTATAAATCCCAGACAGTTTCTGAGAATCGGAAGTCATAACGCTGTCGCTTCGACTTGTGACGCAAAACGTGTACAAGGATCGTCCGCAACTTTTCATTCGCTATTTTTGCGTTATGGAAATACTGGGATGAAATATTTACCATCCTCTCGCCAAAAAGACATTCGGATTTTTTGTTGGGTCAAGTCAAATGTTTCGCAACTTGAGTACCTACTGGTGGAGCGAAATGAGAACTGCAGATGTCAACGCGTCATATTTTTATGCAGGTGTTTGCGTAATGACAGCGAATCGATTCCGATTGTCATTTCATCAGTGGAAAGAATAAATA